TTAGTACTGGTATAACATCTATGCAGGACCTGCTGGCCTTGAGAGTTTCAATGGAGAAGTCAGGTGTAATTTTGATAGGTCTGGCTTTATATGTTACTTGGCCTTTTTCCTTCCCTGCTCTTAATAGTCTTTCTTTATTCTGTATGTTAGGTGTTTTGATCATTATGTGTTGAGGGGTCTTTTTTTCTTTGGTCCAGTCTATTTGGTGTTCGGTATGCTTCTTGTACTTACATGGGCATGTCCTCCTTTGGATTAGGAAAGTTTTATTCAATGATTTTGTTGAATATGTTTTCTGTACCTTTGAGCTAGACTTCTTCACCTTCCTCTATGCCTTTTATTCTTAGCATTGGCCTTTTCACAGTGTCCCACATTCCCTGAATGTTTTGTGTCAAGGATTTGTTGGATTTTAGATTTTCTTTGGTCGATGATTCTATTTCCTCTAGTTTACCTTCAGAGCCTGAAATTTTCTCTTTGACCTCTTGCATTCTGTTGATTTTGCTTGCACCTGTAGTTCCTGATCATTTGCCCAGTTTTTCTATTTCCAGCATTCAGTTTTTTGTTTTCTTTATTGTCTTTATTTTAGTTTCCAGGTCTTGAACTGTTTGGATATGTCCTTCATCTGTTAGATTGCTTTTTTTTTTTTTCTTGTCTTCCCTTACCTTCTTGAAGAGATTTGTTCATTTCTTGCTTGGTGTTTTCCTCTATTTCTTACAATTTTTTGTTTTTTCTTCCATTTCTTTAAGGAATTTTCTCATATTATTTTTGAGGGCCTCTATCATTTTCACGAAGTTATTTTTTAAGTAGTTCTCTTCTGCTTCATCTGCTTTGATGTGTTCAGGTCAAGTTGATGTAGAGTCCCTAGATTCTGGTGGTGTCATGCTTGTCTTTCTATTGTTGGGTGTTTTCTTATATTGCTGTCTTCCCATCGCTTCTTCCAGTGGGTGCAGGTGGAGTCTCTCTCTCTCTACCCTGGTTGTAGTTGGGTGAGGCGTTCGATGGATGATCCATGCTCTCTTGGGTTAGGGGAAGGCAGGCTCTGAGTGGTGAATGGAGTAGTGTACGGGGACTGTACTATCCAGTGCTAGGACATAGGAGAGTGTAGTGAGATAGTCATTCTGTGACACTGACCACGCCCATTGGGGGTGGAGCCATGGGCAGATGCGACCTGTGGAAGGTCTGAGGAAGAGGGGGGGGGGAGGGAGGGGGGAGGGGGGAGGAGGAAGCTCTCTTGCTGGCGGGACTCGGACAGGAGAGCATCCGGTGGTACTTGCTGGTGTTCATCTGTCTAGGTTGTAAGTTATTTCTCCCTGAATAAACATCTATTCAGCCTATTTGTTTATCCTGATCCTTATTTTAACCGTGATAGGAGAGAGCTCACCTGGGGAGTTCCCAGGGAAGGATGTGGTTGGAATTCGGCCTGAACTGGTCCCAGAGTCACCTCCGGCAGAGTTCCACCTCAAGATAGGTGGGTCCAGCATGGATATGTGGGTCCAGTGTGCTCAGAGCAGATCTAGGAAGTTCCATAGAAGTGGAGAGGTTGTTGAACCCACATTCTGGCCCATTGCTTACCCAGAGCAACAGGTCCGTTAGGACAAAGGGTGAGGGGAAGCAACATTCCTTTTCCTAAGAATTGATTTTGCCAGCTCAACCATGCCCTTTTACTTCCTCTATCCCTGGCTACATTTAGCTGAGTTGCAATCTGACCTCTGTTTCCTGGCCTGTCTCCTCCTCCTTCTCCTCTTTCTTCTCTCTCTTCTTGCTTGAAGACTGAACCCTGGATCACATGCATGGTAGGCGTATACTTTACCATCCAAGGGCTACCCTCCACCCCATTTTGTTTTGTTTTTTGAAACAGGTTCTCTCTATATAGCCCAGGTTTTCCTGGAACACATGATGTAGATCAGGCTGTCCTGTAATTCACAGAGTCCTGCTTCTGCCTCCTGAGTGCTGGGATTAAAAGTATGCACTATGACTCCTATTCTCCCATCCCATTTTCCCATGTCAACAATAACAACAACAACAAAAAAAATCAGTTACATGCTTTATAGAAAAGGGGGGTATGGGTTGGGGTCTTTTTGTTAGTGTTTATATAGGTTTTCATACATAAGTGGTTACACGAATGCCCATATCGTATGCAGCAGCTGCACTTGTTGGAAGCTCTTCAGATAACCTCCCTTGGTGAACTCTCACAGCCCATGCAACAGCAGGAGTAGCAACTCTTCTGGCAGGAGGTGAATCTACACCATCTATACCTTTTGTAGTCCCCCATTTTGTGTTTGTGTGTGTATTTGTGTGTGTGTGTGTGTGTGTGTGTGTGTGTGTGTGTAGGTGCTTATGTGTGTATAGAGGCTAGAAGATAATTGCTATTGTTTTTTGAGGCATGGTCTTTCACTTGCCAGAAGCTTATTGAGTTGGCTAGGCTGACTGCCTAGCAAGCCCCAGGAATCTACCTCTCACTTCTCTGGTAGTGGGATTATAAGTATTATGTGTATATGTGTGCATATCTTTGTCAGTGTATGTAACATGTGAAGCAGTGCTCTCAGAAGCCAAAAGAGAGTGTCTTAACTATTGAGCCATTTCTCCAGTCCTTGTGCTTCTGTTCTTTAAGACTGAGTCTCCTCATATAGCTCTATTTGCAAATTTTTTTTTAAACTCTTGATCCTTGTCACTTTATATGTTGCAATTACAGATGTGTGTTCTCATGCCCAGTTAGACCACAGCTATTGAGTATAAACTGTGAATTACTACCCCATATAGGGCCACTGTCTTGGTTTGAATAGGAATGACCCTTATAGACTCACTGTTTGAATGTTTGGTCCACAGGGAGTGACACCATTAGGAGGTGTGACCTTGTTGGAGGAGGTATATCATTGTGGGAGCAGGCTTTGCAGTCTCATATGCTCAAGCTATTCCCACTGTAGCACACAGTCTCCTTCTTTTGCCTGAGGATCAAGATACAGAGCTCTTAGCTTCTCTAGCACTGTGTGTGCCTGCATTCTGCCAGTTTTCCAACGTGATGATAATACTACAAAAACCGCTGAAACTGTAATCCAGCCCCAATTAAATGTTTTCCTTTATTAGAGTTTCTGTAGTCATGGTGTCTCTTCACAGCAATAAAAACCCTAACTAAGCCAGTCACATAATTGAATGTGCAAGTAGTAAAAAAAGCAACAAAAAACACAGCAACCAAAAATTCAAAATAAAGCAATAAAGAATCCAAGATATCAGGTGGTGGTGGAGCAAGCCTTTAATCCCAGCATTCAGGAGGCAGAGGCAGATGGATCTCTGTGAGTTCAAGGCCAGCCTGGACTATAGAGTCCATGATGTCTCTGGAAGCATCATTCATGTTAAATCACACTTCTCTGCAGCTTTTCATTCTAACTCAGCACAAGTGCAGTTTGCACTGTGCATGGTGTTATACTAGTACTGCCTAGAACTAGGCTGCCTAGAACACCTTACCTCAGATTTGAGACTACTGTATGCTATGAAGTTTAGTGTTTCTACTGTATGCAGGTTTTTTTGCTCTTATAGAAACATAATGGTTTAATTACAAAGGCTTTTAGTATTTTCTTACTATCTTTCCTCAGCATAAAAGTACTAAATCGGCAAGTCTGTTACAATATTTAGCAACCTCCCCCCATACATGGTGTCAATATGTAGCCCTGGCTGGCCTTGAACTCTATATGTTGTTAAGGCTAGCCCCAGACTCAGAAATCTGCCCACTTCCACCTTCCCAGTCTTGGGATTAAACACCATGCCTGGCTAGAATGTTTAATTTTTAAAACTGTTGTATGGTCCTGTGGGATGGCTCAGCAGCTTCTTGCTGCTAAGCCTGACAACCTATGTGATTCCTTGGACACACATGACAGAAGTGCAAGTTGTCCTCTGACCTCCACAGTTGAGCTCTGGTATATGCATCCCCCCTCCCAAACAAATACATGTAATGTGATTAACAAACAAACAAACAAACAAAAAAACCTTTTGATTTGCTCACTTTAGTTTCATTTTCATTTATTTATTTATTTTTAGTTTTTCGAGACAGGGTTTCTTTGTGTAGCCCTGGCTGTCCTGGAATGCTCTGTAGACAAGGCTGGCCTCAAATTCACAGAGATCCACCTGCCTCTGCTTCCTGAGTGCTGGTATTAAGGGTGTGCACCATCTCCTTCAGTTTCATTTTTTAAAATGTTAAATTTTGTTTTGGCATTATAACAGAATTTCCAAAATGCTCCTAAATATATTTCTGCCATTTTGTACCACATATTTCTGCACATAGGTATTCTCAGCATTAATGATTATAAAATGAAAATACTGATTAACTCTAAAAATGTTGAAGATTCTTTAGGTCCTACAGTATCAACTATTTAGCCAAGAATTCTTTATGTAAAGATAAAAATGTGCATCCATCTTATTAGCATGCCAATTTGCTTTTGTCTAATGAATGGTACACACACACACACACACACACACACACACACACACACACACACACATATATCTCAAAGAAGTGTTTAAAATAGTAGGGCATGATGGCTATTCCCATAATCCCAGCACTTTGGAAGTCGATGCAAGGAGGATCAAATCATCCTCAGCTACATAGAGAATTCAAGTTCAGCTCAGGCTATAATGAGACCATCTCACCTGCACCTGAGGCTGTTGCAGGAAGATACACAAAAACAGTCCTTGTGGTCTGTTCTCCCATAAGCTCTCACCCTCCCTCGAGAAGATTTTCGCCTCGAGTATAGTTAGTTTCGCCCTTGTAAATTTTACTTGATGCAGCGCCAGAGGGACAGAGTGGACAGAGGGCGGAGGAGGGGTGAGCACTGCCCAAGCATAGAAAGTGCAACAGGTCCTAGTGGGCACGCGCAGTTCTTGTTTTCTCTCTTGCCTGGCAATCCACCCTCCCTGCCCCGCCTCTTGCGTTGCCATGGAGACCCAGCGGTCAAAGCCCGCCAGTGGCAGAGCCCTGGGTCTGGTGGCCTCTTGTTGGGTTTGTGTAGGTAATGTTGAGCAACACAGAGCTTTCTCGGAAGAGCATGGACTTGAGTGAGATGAGGTCCCCCGGCCTGGGCCGCTGCAGACCCTTCTTTTGGTTGGGTGTCGCCTTCGACGCGGTGGGTGTGGCAGTGCTGTTCACTGGTGTGTTCGCCGACCTGCTGTTCTACGACATGTTGCTCTATCTGGGTTCCATCATCATTTTCATCAGCCTCCTGTGGTGGATCTTCTGGTACACCGGCAACATCGAGGCGCTCCCGGAAGACCCCTCGAGGAGGACTTCACCTCGCACAGGCGAGGTCGGGGTGCACCGCAGCGGCAGCCATCGCTTCTCGCTGACTCTCAGGAGTGTGTCTAACACCTTCCAGCGGATCCGCCGGCGGCGGCGGCGGCGGCTCCTCCCAAGGGTCCTCCAGAGGATCAGTAGCCTCAGCTCGACCGACCCGGGCCAGCTGGAAGGGAACAGAGATGCTGGGACCATTGGTGGCAGAACATCGTTCTATCCTGTGAAGCCTGCATCTGTTCTGAACCAGCTACAGAATTGCTCAGTCCAGGCCTCTAAGAGCCTGCCTCTGGTCCCTTTGCATCCTCCTCTCTCCATTTGTACTTCTAGGAGCCAGCCTGTCTTTTCGGTGACCTCTCAGTGCTACCCTCTGATGTCTGGAGCTTCTGGCAGCTACTCCCAGATGGCTTTGTCTTCTGACAGCCACGTGCTTCTGGACCCTGATCCTCAGGTGCACTCTAAGATCAGCGTGGCCTCTCAGGTCTACCCTCTGGAAAGAGTAGACAGTCAGAGCCACCTCCTGGTGCCTGTGCGCTCTGAAAGTTTCCCTGTGGTCCCCATGATCTCTCAGAGCCAAATGCAAGGCTCTGTGTCCTCTGACAGCCATGTGCCTGTGGACCCCCATTCCCAGAGGCGCTCTAAGATCAGCGTGGCCTCTCGGGTCTATCCTCTGGAAAGAGTAGACAGTCAGAGCCACCTCCTGGTGCCTGTGCCCTCTGAAAGTTTCCCTGTGGTCCCTGTGATCTCTCAGAGCCAAATGCAGGGCTCTGTGTCCTCTGACAGCCATGTGCCTGTGGACCCCGACTCCCAGAGGCGCTCTAAGATCAGCGTGGCCTCTCGGGTCTATCCTCTGGAAAGAGTAGACAGTCAGAGCCACCTCCTGGTGCCTGTGCCCTCTGAAAGTTTCCCCGTGGTCCCTGTGGTCTCCCAGAGTCAAATGCAGGGCTCTGTTTCCTCAGACAGCCGTGTGCTGGTGGACCCGGACTCCCAGAGGCGCTCTAAGATCAGCGTGGCCTCTCGGGTCTATCCTCTGGAAAGAGTAGACAGTCAGAGCCACCTCCTGGTGCCTGTGCCCTCTGAAAGTTTCCCTGTGGTCCCCGTGATCTCTCAGAGCCAAATGCAGGGCTCTGTGTCCTCTGACAGCCATGTGCCTGTGGACCCTGACTCCCAGAGGCGCTCTAAGATCAGCGTGGCCTCTCGGGTCTATCCTCTGGAAAGAGTAGACAGTCAGAGCCACCTCCTGGTGCCTGTGCCCTCTGAAAGTTTCCCTGTGGTCCCCGTGATCTCTCAGAGTCAAATGCAAGGCTCTGTGTCCTCTGACAGCCATGTGCCTGTGGACCCCGACTCCCAGAGGCGCTCTAAGATCAGCGTGGCCTCTCGGGTCTATCCTCTGGAAAGAGTAGACAGTCAGAGCCACCTCCTAGTGCCTGTGCCCTCTGAAAGTTTCCCTGTGGTCCCCGTGATCTCTCAGAGCCAAATGCAGGGCTCTGTGTTCTCTGACAGCCATGTGCCTGTGGACCCCGACTCCCAGAAACGCTCTAAGATCAGCGTGGCCTCTCGGGTCTATCCTCTGGAAAGAGTAGACAGTCAGAGCCACCTCCTGGTGCCTGTGCCCTCTGAAAGTTTCTCTGTGGTTCCAGTGATCTCTCAGAGCCAAATGCAGGGCTCTGTGTCCTCTGACAGCCATGTGCCTGTGGACCCCGACTCCCAGAGGCGCTCTAAGATCAGCGTGGCCTCTCGGGTTTATCCTCTGGAAAGAGTAGATAGTCAGAGCCACCTCCTGGTGCCTGTGCCCTCTGAAAGTTTCCCTGTGGCCCCCGTGATCTCTCAGAGCCAAATCGAGGGCTCTCTAGCCCAAGAAAGCCAGCCCCAGAATCCCCCTGACTTTCAAACACAACCTGAGTCTGTTAAATCTTCAGAGGGGCATACTTTGTCCATGGAGGTTCATGTGGTGCCGCCTGGAGCTGCCCAAACTCAGGGCTCCCAGACCTCTTTAGCCCAGACTTCTCAAAGTTGCTCTTCAGGTCTCCACCAGGTTCCTAAGAATTCAAGTGCTGAAGCTCTTGAGACTCTCCCAGCAACTAGTTAGAAACTAGCTCAGGAGAAGCCTGACCCTACACTGACTGTGTCTGAGGCCACACATCCAGACAGACACTGTGACCCTACTGGCAACCTTCCAGCCTCAAGGGGCATGAGAAAAAGTCACCCTTTCTAATTGGAATCATATCCCAGCCATTTAAATGTCTACTAAGGCCTTTGCCAAGAAAGTGCCTAGGAGGAAAAGTTACCAACATTACTCTTTTTATTGTTGGCATTCTAATGGCTTTCTCAACTCCTGGAGGGAACAAAGTGGGCTTGGCCTTTGGTAGGCTTTAGAAAGTAGTTCTCTGAGGCCACAAAGCCTAAGGCTTTGACTACTTATCAGACAAGGAAATCTGTTCTTTTGTTTAAGGTCAGAGGAGGAGCCAGAGGGTATTGTTCTTAGGAGGCTCTAAAGACTAGAGGGAGGTGGAGGATTTGGATTCTGCAAGATTTCTCCTGGAAGAAGACAACTTCAGTTTTTATAGGGACATGGCATTAAATGACATTGAATCTTAGGTGGGGAGTTTTTCCTTTTCAGTACATTTGATTTTTGTCAAAGAGGCTATATTTTGTTTGGAGAGAATGCCCACTAATATCCCTCTAAAGCTACAGTAGGCTAAAACCATACCCTGCTGGAATTTAATGATCTTCATAGTCATACATGTTTCATTGAGTTACTTCTACTTAATGCCAAGAGATAGTAATTTCCTGCTTACAACAGTGATAGTTGCTATTTAAATACATTATCTAAATAAAATACTTTGCACAAGGTATAAGAAAAGTTGGGTGATTCTAAAGTGAAAATGTTGGATCTGAGTTTACTTTCTTTCTTCCCCTTTCTCCTCTCCTCATTTCTCTTTGTGTTTTGCTGTTGCCATCCTGGAACTCATTCTGTAGGCTGCAGAGATTCGCCTGCCTCTTCCTCTCTGAGTGCTGAGATTAAAAACATGGGCCACTTGTTCTGTAAATCTTTACAGGCATTTTGGCTGCTTTAGTTTTATACAGTTTGAACACCTGAATTCTAGAAAATATATCCAATGACTATGTTCCTTTCTATTAAAAGAGAGAAAATCTGAACATGATAACACATGCCTGTAATCCTAGTATTTGGGATGCAGAGGCAGGAGGAATGCTGAAAGTTCAAGGCCAAACTAGGGTAACATAGCAAGACCTTTCTCAAAAAAAAAAAAAAAAAAAAAAAAATGCTTTAAACCTGGGCTGTGGTGCACACACCTTTAATCCCAGCACCTGGGAGGCAGAGGCTGGTGGATCTCTGTGAGTTTGAAGCCAGCTTGGACTACAGAGTGAGTTCTAGGACAGCCAACCAGGGCTACTGTTAAAGCAGTTTTCCCACCAGCCTGGTCCCAGTCATGTCAGCCCCAAGTAACACACAGAGATGCTATATTAGATATAAAGCTATTATCATTACTTATTGGCTAGCTCTGTCTTAAATATTAACTCATTTCTATTAATCTAAGTATCTCCATGTGGTCTCTTGGTTCTATGTGTTGAATCTACTCCTACCTCTCCCTGAATCATCCTTGTCTCCTAGTCCCATCTATCTTGCTTTCCTATTGGCCAACAGGGCTTTATTCGTTAACCAATACTAAAAACATATTTACAGAATGACATCTCCCATCAGGCTACAGAGAGAAACCCTGTCTCAAAAAAAAAAAAAAAAAAATTAAGTGGGGTGTGGACGCTGGTGGAGTGGCTCAGTGACAGTGCTTGTCTAGAATGCCTGTATTTCTGGGTTGAATCTCCTATGTTTTGCCCCCCCCCCCAATAATAAAAGAGATGTAGCTGGGAGTGAATCTCAGCTTGCCTGACATCAGTATATATTTTGTTATTTTGTGTGTGTGCTTGTTGTTTGTGTGTGTGTGTATAACTATTGAAGGGACCAGTCCCCTACTTTTGCAGCCATTACAGGCTGCAGAAAAGGCTCAACATGTGCTTACCTGACCTTGCCCCTCCTCCCAGTCACTAGGAGGTTAGATACCCTGGCAAGGAACCAATCAGAAGTTAGCTGATGTGCTCTACTGCACTTTATGGTAAAAGTGGTGTAACAGTGACATACAGAGCATAGCAACTGCCCTGGGAGGGCCTATAGGCCACAGCAACCAGTTGACCAACACAGGACAGGTCGTCCAAGCTTGGAAGCTCACCAATCTTGAGACTGTTGTATACCCCTAGACACTCCCCTTACACTGCATACTAAGTTTCCTGCCTCGAGGTTTCTATGGGTCCTTCTCCCACTGTCTGCTGTGATGAATGGATGAAGGGTCCGAGTTAATGCAGTTAACTCATTAAACAACAATAATAAAAGACTCTTTGCTTTTGGGGTTCAGAATCTGGGCACAACACTATGTATGAGCAAAACAATAATTTTAGAAAAGACAAGACTGGATGGACTGGATGTGGTGGTACACACTTTTATCTCAGCACTCACAAGGCAGAGGCAGGAACAATCACTGAAAATTGGAGGCTGGCTAGTCTGGTCTACAAAGCAAGTTCTAGGCCAAAGCTGCTGTCTCAAAAAAAAAAAAAAAAAAAAAAAAAAAAAAAAAAAAAGACTTTAGTGTTATTTTAAAAAGCCATTTCCTGTCCCCTTTATTTTTTGAGGTAGTTCATATGATTGAAACAATTATCTAGATAAATCTTAAAGAGTTAGACAATAAGTACCAAGAATAAGGTGAACATGAAGATACAAGCATGCAGCTCTTGCCAATAGCAAGTTTTGTAGTCTTTGTTCTTTGAATCAAAACAATAGTTATGAGGATGACAGAAGGTCATCCAAGGAAAAAGGAAGTCTTTAGCAAGCCTTTTTGACAGGAGGAGCCACCCCATGCCCTTCAAATAATTAATTTACCGGCTAAACATTTGTATCCTTTCTAGCAGGTGCCAGGCATTGTATTAAGTACTGGAAAGCCATTGTTATATTTGGAGGCCCTGATTTTCAAGCACTTACCATTTACCAGGAGACATAGACATTGAAATAACTGCTTCAAGAACACGTGTGTGTGTGTGTGTGTGTGTGTGTGTGTGTGTGTGTGTGTGTGTATGTGTGATACCAATGAGGGTTGGGTAAGAGGTGTTTGAATTGGATCTAAAAGCAAATTTTCATTGGGTGAAGATCATGGGTGAGAATATTCCATGTGAAGGGATAAGTATCATCAAAAATTATACAGAAAAGGGCCTAGAGAGTTCACTCAGCAGAGGGCTTTCTTCTTTTTCAGAGGACTCAAGTTTAGTTCAAGCACCCATATTGGGTGTCATCCAACTGTCTATAACTACATTTCTATAGGATCTGATTCCCTCTTCTGGCCTCTTTGGATGTATTCACAGGGCATGGCATATACACAAACACACATACACATAAATAGATTTAAAATTTTTTGGTGGTGGTGGTGGGGGCTGGGCAGTAGTAGCCTACATCTCTAAAATCCCAGCACTCATGAGGCAGAGGCAGGTGGACTTCTGACTTTGAGGCCAGCCTGATCTATAGATGGAGTTCCAAGATAGCAAGAGTTACACAGAGAAACCCTGTCTCAAAAACAAAATGAAATCTGTTTTTGTTGTTATTTTTCAAGACAATGTTTCTCTGTGTAGCCTTTGCTGTCCTGGAACTTGCTCTGTAGACCAAGCTGGCCTTGAACTCAGAGATCCCCTGTCTCTGCTTCCCAAGGGCTACCATGCCCTGTGAAAAATAAACAAATAAGAAAAGTAAATCTTAAATAAAACAGAGTTCCTCTGTAGCTTTGGAGCCTGTCCTGGAAGTCAGTACACCACCACCACCACCCAACTCACTTTAATTTTTCTAAATGTTCTCATTTGATTGAATTCACACACAAAGGATCCAACACCCTCTGATTTCTTTTCAACATCTTTTTTTTTGTTCTTTGTGCTTACTAGCACATGTAGTCCCAACATGACAGGGACTCAAACAAGTACTTGTTTGAGAACGTAACATATGGAATATATGTGTATGTATGTATGTATGTATGTATGTATGTATGTATGTATGTATGTTTAGTGTGATTTTGGAAACTTTATGGTAGAGCAACTGATACCCACTTTTATTGTTTAGTTTAGGCTAGTATTTGAGATAGATTGGGGGGTCCTTCCTACTCACTCCCCTCTGCTTGAGCTAGAGATTACTTAAACTTACATCCCAAAGCAGTCCACTTTTTAGGTCAATACCAGGAAAAGGAAGGGAGGAAGGAGGAAAGGATGGATGGAGGGAGAAGAGAGAGATAGACTCTTCAATTAGAGCTGTTCTGTAAATGAGAACTAAACCCCATGAATGTCCCCATTTTTAACTTTTATTTTACCTGTGGAATTACTCAAATCTTGCTAAAAATACAGGATGGGACCAAAAGGCCAAGGAAAGAAAACAAATAAACAAAGCAAAACAAAGAACAAAAACAAAACAAAATAATCATGCAGCCCTAATCCATACATTGTCTCTCCTGTGTAGTTTTGATTCAACTTTTCTTTAAGAAGAAAAATTTATACAGTAATGGCTTCAAAGACAAGCCAGCTGCCTCTGTGTGTGTGGTCAGTTAGTCAGTTGTGTGCCTGCTTTAGACAAACAAACAAAAAACTTGTACCTGCTTGCACAGATCTAAGCCAGATGGGGCACCAGTGATGATAGGGGCAATGGACAGAAGCCTCCAGTCCCTAACCCTGAAGTTATCTCCAGTTGATAACCACTTGAGAAGGAAATATTAGTTTTCTTACTGAGTATACAAATCACACCTAAGGACAGGCCCCACTCAGGTGAATTTGGCTGGGTGGGTGGAAGGAGTTGTGTGAAGGGAAACTGTGATCAGAATACATTGTAGGAAATTAGAAAAAAAAAGATAGAAAAAATAAATCATCCTTACCCCACTCCCCTCCAAAAACAAAACAAACAAACAAACAAAAAAAAAACAAAACAAAACAAACAAACAAACAAAAAAAAAACAAAAAGAAAAATCAAGCCCGGCGGTGGTGGCACATGCCTTT